GAACGGGACCGTTGGCTTCGGCACAGACAGCTTTGGGGGGGGCCGGTGCCCCCACTCTTCTGAGACCAGCCTCTTGGACAGCCCAGGAGGGAAGCTGATTTAACATGGAAGGAAGGAAGCGTGAAGGGCCAGGGTCCTCAGGAGTTCATGTAAAAACACGCTTTGTCCTGGCGGGTGGGCTCGGTTGGTTGGAGGGTCGGCCGGCGCACCACGAGGTTGCGGGGTTGACTCCCGGGCACTGCACAGACCTAGGTTGCGGGGTCCATCCCCGGACAGGGCCCCTAAGGGAGGCAACCCATCGACGCTTCTCTCTTCCCCCTTCCCCTGTCTCTAAAATCAATAGTAACATATCCTCGGGTGAGGATCTTTTAAAATTGCACTTTTTGCCTGGCCGGTGTGGCTCAGTGGTTGAGCATCAACCCACGAACCAGGAGGTCACAGTTAGATTCTTGGTCAGGGCATATGCCCAGCTTGACCCCCAGGAGGGGGGCGCTCAGGAGGCAGCCCATCGAACACTGCACCGGGCACCCCGAGTTGAATGCCAGAGAGGGTCCCCCCCAGGGGAGCTGGCACGCCAGCAAAAGTGTGGGGACCAGGCTGCTCAAAGGGCAGCGGGAAGACAGGACAAGCCCTTGGCAATCACGAGGGGAAATGTCACCTTCCAACTAGAAAAAGCATCATCTTTGCACAGAGCCCCTTGGGCTGGGACTCTCTCCCGGCGCTCCAACCCTACGATCAGAGGTTTCCTACCCCCAGTGCAGGAAGTCTAAAAAAATTAAAACATTAACAACAGTCGGAATCTGTCAGCGTCTCCACCCAAAATAACCAAAGCGCCCGGCCCCTCCTTCCGCCAGCTGCCGGCCCAGAATAGAGCGGCTCCGAGCGACCGTATCAAGTGACCGCGCAGAGGTGTGTCCGACAGATGCCGTCCTCAGGCCCCACGGGGACGTCTGCAGGGTGTCGAAATCTGGGCCACTTGCGCTGTGGCTACAAATAAACCGTCCCGCTCCAATCCGAGGCGTCCCGGAGCCGTGGGCCTGGCAGCGTCTGGGCCACCTCGGTGTGTGCGCCGACGGGGGCGGGGCGCGGGGAGGTCACCTTGTCCCACGCCTGCACGGCCCCGTTCGTCCTGAGGGTTCACGCCAAAGGCTCCCCTTTTTTTCTTTTCTTTCCGGGCTGGTGTTGCTCAGTTGGTTGAGCATCATTGCGTGAACCAAGAAGTCGTTGGTTCCATTCCCGGTCAGGGCACGTGCCCGGGTTGTGGGTTCGATCCCCAGCAGGGGGCGAGCAGGAGGCAGCCCATCCATGACTCTCATCATTGATGTTTCTCTCTCTCTCCCTCTCCCTTCCTCTCTCTGAAATAAAAAAAAACATATTTTTAAAATATATATCCCTTTTTTGCCCTGGCTGGTGTCCTCAGTGGTTAGAGCTTCAGCCCTCGCACCCGAAGGGTCCTGGGTTCGATTCCCGGTCAAAGGCACGCACCTGGGTTGCAGGTTCAATCCCTGGCCCCCATCAGGATACGTTTGGGAGGCAACCCATGGATGTGTCTCTCTCACATTGATCTCTCTCTCTCCCCCCCAACCCTTCCACTCTGAAAATCAATGGAAAAAAATGTCCTGGTGGAGGGTTAACAGAAAAAAAAGCAAAAAAAAAAAAAAGCATGTGGACAGGAGGGCAGCTCCCCGGCTCCCACCCCCTAAGTCCGCCTTGTCCCGTGTGGGTCGCTGGGCCTGGTGACCGTGGACAGCGCCATGCGCCCCATCAGCAGAACCCAGGAGAGTCTGCGCCTGTCAACCCCGGGAGGGCTCAGCAGGCAGGCGTCTCTGTCACAGGAGCGCCGACGGGGCTCCACGCCGAGGATTAGCGGCTGATGACATACCTGAGATTCCGGAGCCAGACCGAGAGGCAGCCTCGGTGGCTGTCACTTCCTGAGATCTGCTGCTACAGCTGGGAGGTGGGGGGCAGGAGCCACAGCCCTGGAAATAACCCGAGAATGTGCAGCCTCCACCTGACCTCGGCCCAGCTGCCCCTCCCTGCACGGCGCCCTGCCACCGGCTTCCCAGGAGGGCGCAACACCCGGGGACCAGGTCCAGCGTCCTCTGGAGCCTTGGGGACCGTAGTGACAAGAGGACCCAGGTGTCCGGGGCAGCCTCGTCTGACCAGTGTGTCACCAAACACCCCGCCGTGTTGTTTAACAGCGTCATCTGGGAGTTCTGCTCATAGGCAGCAGCCAGGGGACATGTCACAGTCACTTCCCGATGTCCCCCGCTGTCCCTGCCCTGGGGCTGCTGTAACAAATGACCCCAAACTGGGGGCTTAGACAACAGACAATCATCCTCTCTCCGTCCTGGACACCAGGAGTCTGAGATCAAGCTTTTTCTGGATGGGAACTCAAGGCGCCTCCAGGGAGGGTCCTTCCTGCCTCTCCCAGCTCCTGGGGCTCCAGGCGTCCCTGGGCTGGTGGCCGCCTCCCTCCCGTCTCTGCCTCCGTCTCCACGTGGCTTCTCTGTGTCCGTGTCTCCTCTTGTGTCTCTTACAAGGACCCTGCCCTTGGATGTAGGGCCACCAAGACCCAGGACGACCTCATCTCAGAGCCTTCACTTCATCCCATCTGCAGAGACCCTGTTTCCAAATAACCACATTTTGGGAGTCGAGAATGGCTCTGAGGGCTTCCCCGTGTCCGCTCATCAAACACTCGTCAGAATCCTGAGGGGAGGGCTCTGGTACAGGCGACGTCACCAAGGTGGAAATTGATGCTCCAAGGAGGTGAGTCAGGTCACGAGAGGGGGCTCACGGAGGCCACCAGGACCATGTCCATGTTGGGGTCACTTTGAGGTCATGTCTGAGAGCAGACTAGGGATAGGTGGGGTCTCAAAGGTCACCCCCGTGATGGTTTGGGGGTCACAGATGGACATACACCAACGTCACCTCCTCCCAGATGGTCCAGCCCGTGTCTGGGCGTCTGTCTGTCTGCTTCATCATTCAGCCCACAGAAGGGCAGAGCTGACCACACCGTTTTATACCTGGGATCCTGGACATCTCACATGACGGGCAACAAACATTTATTTGAGATCAGTAAGAGCAGAGACTCGGAGAGCACGGATTCAGGCAGGAGCCCAAACGGCGTCCCGATGAGACAGAGGTGACGGGTGTTTGTGAGGAAGGGATGGGCCACAGTGACACCCACAGCAGGAGGGCGTGGCTGTGGGTGCAGGTAACAGGACGTCGTGACGCTGATTCTAAACATGTTTAATCTTCAGTCCTGTCCCCCCATCCAGTAGTCGTCACACCTGCTTCCCCGTCATCTTTGCAGGCAGCTCTTTTGGACACAATGTTGCTTTAGGCCCCGTGCAAAGGTTACTTTATCTCCTCAGTGGTCATCACACCTGCTTTCCCATCATCTTAGCAGACAGCTCTTTTGGACACAATGTTGCTTTAGGCCCCATGCAAAGGTTACTTTGTCCCGTTTTAACATGAAAGTTCGAGGCATCAGATGGGTAGGACGGTCTCTGGGACGGCAGCTCTGGCTCCCTCTTAAATTGACTTATTTTATTGTTTTCACCCCTAATGGCTTCTAAAATAACTAAACGGCAGAGTACAGCTGCCTGAGTCCACGTCTGCTGGTCCCAGGCTCCAAATTCATTTCAGCCACTAGCCGTGGACCCGACAGACACGGGTTTTTTATGCCCAACAGCCCGAGTCCTGCACCCGCCCCACCCCCTCCACCTCTGTGGGGATCGGCCAGAAGCGCTGTCGAGTTTTGCGACCGGGCAGCAGGATTTGCTGACAAGAACGTGCTTCTGATTCTCACTGGCCTCAAAGGGACCCATCTCCCGAAGGCCTTTCCTCAGTCCTCGGGAAACACGCGGCCGTCTCCCCGGGTCTCCCAGCCTCTCATTTCCAGCTGGGAGCCGGAGTTCCCTGGATC